ACTGCATGAAGGTGGTCTCGGCACAGCTAATTACGCGTGACATTACTGAATAAGCTGTTCCGCTTGCTACATTTTATTAAAGGGGGTAAGAGGCTGCATACCTTTATTCATTATTCATTGATTTTAATGGATATTTCACAGTGAAAAAAAAAAAAAAAAAAAAAAAGAGCAGCGAAGCTATCTATCGGTTTCATTATGTGGCCTTCAAAGTCTTCCATTTCCGCGTAATCAACTTATTGATTTTAAGAGAAAAAAATAAATTAAGTCTTTTGGGACAACACATTCTGGATTATAATGCACAACGCACGGCGGGGTATGATGCCATTTGACAAGATGTAAATGTCTATGGGCTTTTCAGGGAGGCACACAATTGGAGTTGCGATGTTCACATACAGGTGAAATATAAATGCCTCCTGTGCCAGAGATGGCAGGAATTATTGAAGAGGGTATTGTTCGGTACAAGGCATTGACTCCCACCTCCAGCTGGGTGAGTTGTGATTCTAATCCGTTGTTTGTTTTCATCCCTCCCCAAAAATGAACTTGCCAAATATGTTAATCTACCCAGATACAACAATTTGTTCTACAGCGCGGAGTGGGTTTTTCTGAGAGCAAAGACATGACTTTTTCCTGGAAAAGCACTTGCATAAGATCATATAAAAGCACAAACACACACAAACATACATTCTATATCATTTACACACATGCCTGCTTAGTCCTTGTGCACACATTTACAGGAATGCTAAGGCACATACACCCATGCACACAGTAACGGAGCCCCACTACAAGGGCAAGCTTTGGGAGGAGCGGTTTCTGTGCATCTCCGGGTTGCCAGTGTGAATTAGAGAGAAGGCTGCTCTGCCTCCTCTAAATGTTTCATGATGTTTACCAGGCTGTTTGTTCGGAGAGCAGATCAAGGACAGACCACTCCCTATGGCACCCACCAAAGGGGCACGGAGGGGGTGAGGGAAGGAAACATAGGGAGGGGGGAGTGAATTTCTAAATGACTGGATTGATGGTCGGATAGACGGCTTCGGTAATGGACCCTTAGATGGATTGATACATGCATACACACTGATACCATCGCACCCAATTTGTAACGCACATGTGCTGCTGCTATTTGCAGCAACGGCACGGTGCTTCTTAAAGATGGCCGCTTGAGTAAAAGGAAACAACAATCACAAGATGTGGTTATCGATCACAAGTTTTTATTACGCAAAACCTCCCTGGCAGTTCAGGGGAAAACAATCTCCAGCATGCATTATGGATGCATATGGTGAGGAGACGAATCGGAACACGCGACAGCGAATCGAGACGGCGCCGTATTACCTTCAAACCGTTTATGTTTACACTGATTGCAGCAGGTGTGCTGAGTGAAGGCGCCGCGGCAAAACACAAGGAGCAAACCTTGCTGTGTGATGGGATTTCTGAAACTATTTCTCGTAGTGTGAAGTGATCTCTGTCCTTCTCTTAGGCTGTAACGTTGGGAAAATATTTCCTCCCCACAGTCCTTGTCCCTTTTCTTCATATTCAGGCCCCTCCACCCCCCTCCCCCCACTCTCCCCTTCTTTGCTCCTCAGACGGCGTTTATGGCGATAATTGACATTCTCACGCAAGATAAGTGCTGACCTGGAAGCGAGCGAAGGGACGTTTAGGCCGCTGCTGTTCCGTCGGTAATTACACCCGGGGCACAGATTTCGGCCGGCTGCTTATTGAATTCATATCTAATAAAACTTCCAAGAAAGTGCTGGCTGACGGGGATCCGTCGCCCCGCCAACCTTCATCTACTGCAGTTTCTCCTGATTCACTTACGCTGTCGTATGTGCGCCCTCCATCCTATCTGCTTGTTTTCCCTCTCTATGGCTTTCTGCTCATTGGGAGTCTGGTTGGCCTCTCTCGCTCTCTCTCCTCATTGTTCCTTTTCTATCCACTGGGTCGAGCCTCTGGAGTTCTGTTTAATTTTCTTTATCGGATTCCGCCCTTCACTTCCGTGATCTTGAGTCTTAGTGTTATTCTCCGGTGCATATTCCCTACGCTTCCATCCACCTCAGCCTGAAATGTGTTTCCATCCCCACTCTGCATTTGTCCTCACCTGCCCTCCATCACTTGGTATTTCGCTCACATGCCCCCCCCCCGACTACATATTATAATCACCGCTTTGCCTCCAACCGTCTACTCGTCGCAGAGTTTTCTTATTTCTTCCAAAAGGTCACGATCGGTCACAAGCTTGTTTGCATTTTCGTCCTCGCTCCGATGCCAGTACCTGAGGAAAACATGCCGTTATTTCGTCCGCTGCCCTGCCGCAGTTCACTCCGGCTCCGAAAGTTCTGCTGCCTGCCACTTGGAGGCGACATGACCATATGCTTCCATGTGTTAAGTGATCCGCAACCCGCAGGTCCACAGCCCCGACTGAACCTCACACACAATCCAGTGTCTCTCTGCAGGCACACCATCCCATGGACTACTCCCGCCTCCTTCTCCACCCTCTCCTCGCCATCCCTCCCTCCCTCCCTTCCTTCCTTTCCTTTCTTTCATCCCTCCATTACCCCTTCATGCACCCCCGCACTCCTTAAATCAGCTGCGATAAAAACAGATGCTGGATTGAAATGTCAGAAGTGTATCTCAAACTGCCAGAACATTAACCTGTTCACCCTTAGGTGCCTTGCTTTTCTCAGAGGGGACCGGGGAGGGGGGAGTAGTGGGGGGGGGGACTGGAGCAGAGGAGGAGGACGTGGCAAAAAAAGGAGGAAAGAGAGGAGGAGGCTCTGCCATTTTCAAAGAGCCCTCGTGGATTCCGGAGAGCAGGCAGAAATACAGGCAAGCTGCTCAGGGGGGAGAGGGGGGGGTAGGAGAGAAAGCATAAGCAAAGTAGTAAAATACTAGGGGCGAGGGGAAGGAGGGAGGCAGAGGAGGAGAGGAGGGAGGTAGTGAACGTAATAAAAGCAGCAGAAGTCCAGAAGAACAGTGGCAAGAGGGTCGACTGAACAACAGACACAAAGTCAAAGAGGCGAGGAGGAAGAAGGGAAGCGAGATGTAAAGGAGTGAAGGGAAAAGGGAATGTTTGATAAGTCAGCTTAGGTGCGGCGACGGCGGTGAGCATTGATCTTGAGAGCGAGTGGAGATACGGAACTCATCTTCTTGGGGCCGATTCGGGTTGATAACAGGCCGATAAAGCCGCCGTCTGCTCTCAACAATCTTGTTACTCTCTCCTCCCACCTCTCTGTCATTCAGCTGCATAATTCAACGTAATGGTTTAAACAAGCCTGTGATAAAAAAAAAAAGAAGCACCACAAGTGGCATGTGGAAAAAACATGGCTGAAGCCACGCGCTCCTGCCAGAGTCAAAGGGATAGGATTCGGAAATCAGCAGCGTGAAGCCTGGAGGAATTGTTGTAAATACATTGAAAGGGATAAAAAAAAAAAAAAAAAAAAGAGGTACCGAGTACCAAAGGTTTCTCGAGCCACATCACTCGCATAACCAATTCTTATCTACAACAGACTCACCTCTATAACCCCCCCTTCCTTTTTATTCCTTGCTCATTCTCCTCCCCATGCCCATCTTGCCCTTGACGCGACAATAAATCACAGGGTCCTGTTTGTGTTGGGGGGGGAGGGGGCGGTAATTATATGTACCGTATGTAGGCTCTCAGTCCGTGATGAATTAGCTGCCGTAAATAGGCCACTCCTGAGTGACACACATGGCACGAGCGTCAGCCACCTCGAGACTAGCTGCTACTTATCAAAACAGGTAAACCGGTGAGGATGAAAACAAGAAACGAGGGAGGGGAGGCAGATGGTGGATTGTTAGTTCCTCAAATGTAAGCTGGCTATAGTGCATTCTCTTAGCTCTTTGCCATTCTCCATTTCTGGGATTTGATGCGGTCGCACTTCCTGCCCGAAGCACCAAACAGCAAAACTTAGTGGCTATTCTGTCTGTTTGCCTTTCAGCTCTGCTCCAGTTTTCACCACAGATCTCAGACAGAGAGAAATCACCAGCATCTTATCTGTCGTAATGCGTGGCTTAAGAGGGATTTAAAACTCCTCAAAGCAACGTTTTTACCTTAGTGAGAAGAGAAGGTGCTCCGTGCGACTCATGGCTTACTCTCACGAAAAGGGTCTGATGCACACCTTGTTGATCCCGGTGAAAAACGACGGTGAGATCAATAAGCCGACAGTCTCCATTCAATCCTGGTAGAGACTATTTCATTTGATTCACATCGCTGTTCAATTCTGGTATTTTTTCTTAAATCTGTTTAGAATCAACAAGGGAAAATGGATTTCTTCCTACAGTTTACAATACTGGACAGTCTGTAAAGAAGCAGAAGTGAACATGTGAATTAAAGAAAGCGGTTTTATTTTTCCAGGTTCCGAATATCTTCTCTACCGCAACATTAAGGAAACATTTATTCACACTTTGAAAAACCCACATTGATTCATCTATTGTTTTAGAATCGCTTCATCAGGTCTTTTATTTGTTCTTAATGAATTTTGAAAGACTGAGACAGAAAGGGCAGATGCAGAGGATTTTATAACTTTATAGAACAAACTACAACTAGAAATTGGACTGAACATTAGAATGACATTCATTATCAGGTAGCCCGAAAAAAAACTATTTGAACATTGGCTAAAGTATGCACCAAATGTACGTTCAATAGTACTTTTTAAAACACTAATTTCAGGTAAAGCTCACCCTCTGTTGCCGGCTACAATAATAATGCATGTATTTAAGAGTAGGGATACTGCTGCAAGAAGTACTTATTTAACTGCATTGGTAATATAATCACTGGAAAGAAAATGATATCTACTGATTTATTTGCTGGAAGAAAACAAAAAAAAGTAGAAGTGGATTTTCTACAAAGCTTCTGGAAGTTTTTATTGCCAAACGATATTAAAAACATTTGTCATTTTCTATTAGCTGAGGTATGCCGCCCTCGGTATATGCGCTCCGATACACCTTGGCAGTTAGACGAACTCTTTTCTGACATCACGACTCTGAAGACAATGGTCCGTTGTCCACAGGTTTATTGACATGAGAAAGAGTAAAACTAAAACACACAAAAGACATAATAAATACAAATGAAGTGCATTTTCTTCGACCGCTACTTTATATATTTATGCTTATTTACTTTGTTATTTATTAAGTCATATGGACTTTAATGACAACCATAGCAGTGCAGTTACCAACCCGAATGACTCAATAGGCCATGTGCACAAAAATATCCAAACTAAACATTGTCACAAAAATAATCACCTGAGATGATAATGAACAATAAAACAAATCAATACGTACCAACGATGCTATCAAAAAGGTATAGGATGCATGCAGACTCAACTGGATTGAAAAGCTACCAATACAAACAGCAGTTCTGAGCCATATTCTTCATTGACTCACCTGACAAATTACATCACATTTCCTGTTTTCAAAATAAAACATAGCATTGATTTAACGTTTGTGACAAAACATGAGGCTTTAGCATCCCTGGCGTCTGGGAAGAACGCTTTTTTTTTTTGCCAAAACAAAGTGAGACGCTCATCGACTTCCAGCCAATAAAAGACGACTCCAGTCTGCCTTTAACGGGATTCAAACAAAGACTGAAGTGGCTGTCGAAGGTCTCGCTTCTCCTCCATCCCCTCCGTTCCATGCCAGCCACTGGCGAGTGATGTCCGAAATACCAATGCTATATTGTTCTGTGTCACCCAGCCAGACGGCAGCGTTCGAGTAAAAAGCAACAGGAATAATGTGGCTGGACTGTGGAATATGAAATGGAAGGGAGGGGTGAGAGAAATGGAAAAGGCAAGGGCCAAAGAAAGTGGTGAAAATACATTTATCTTCTAGCATATGAATCATCGTTTTGCCATCCCCACACCCTCCAAGCTCCCGATCCACCCATGCATAATGTGTTTCTTCATTACCGGCAAAGGTGTCTGTGCAAATAGCTGTGTGGGAGTGAGACGCAAAGAAAGAAAGCGAGAGGGGAGAAAGGCTAAGAAGAAATACCTCGCGGACAAGGATGGCAGCCTCAAGGTGTCTCGGAGGTACAGAGCATATGTGTGCAGCTGCACACAGCTGGAACATCCCCCAATTCAGCAGATCTCAGTTTTATTTATGGCGGTTCTGATGGTCACCATGACAACATGAGACACGGTGGACATTTGTGTCTTGGGAGCGAGTACACCGACGAACACAACCTGCCACACGTGCATACCTTCACTCAATCTGACATTGAGGTCAACATAATTTATGTGAGTGCCATTTCTTTGTTTGTCATACGTTTCTCCTGCGTTGGCGACTTTGTCATGTGGGCGGTGTTGAATCCATTTCGTTTCACGTCCAGGATGAATCTCTCCACGCGTTAGTTCTCTTTCTCTGTGGCACCACTGTCCCCCATTGTCTTTCAGGCTTATCCTCCTCCCGTTCCCTCTCACTTTCTTGTTGTCTCATTGGCACATACCTCCCCTCCCGGTGGAGGTGCTTGCAGATCCAGCTGGTGTGTGTCACACTCGGCTGCCGGGTGCTGCTCAGTAATGGCTGGCCGCAGTGGCCAATTGAGCAGCTGAACACACACACACACAGTCTTCCCAGAGACTCACTATTCATTCCCTGCATTACCATATTGTGTGTCCCTCAGAGAATCAGAGGGGGGTTTGCACTGTTGTGTCACCCTGGAGTACCATCCAAGCGCCTTGGAATAGCTTTCAGTGCGTTGACCAATGGCTTGTTTCCATTTCCATCAACCCTGAAAAGGCTACGGGACTAAAAAAAAGGTTCTAAGACTGAATTTACAGTTGCTGGATTAAAGCCTGGCATCCGTGACAACGGGACTGCCTATCTCCTGGTAAAAGGAAGAGTGACGCAAAACAAAGCACTCTGTAAGCAGGTAGATCAATAAGCAAAACTGAAAATTCTAGTACTTCAAAATGTTCAGCCCTGCCGGGCATGGAAGGTCTGGCAGCAGAGCGGTCTGAGACAGGACATCTGTTGCAGCTTTCTTTTTACTGCTGCACCACTTTATCCTCGCAATTACACGTTAACAGGATGTAAATAAACCATTTAAGGAGATACCCATTTTCAACCCAATCGGCATTTCTATGTTTTTGTATATACACTAACAACAGCTCAAAGGCCATCTTCCAACCTCTGGGCCACCTCCGCTTCTTCACAAAAAAGTAAACCATGTATTCGATAAAAATTGACTAGTCAGTGTAGAATGTCTTGTCTAGTTGGCCAAACCCACCCTTTCTCTTGTCCGTTTTCTCCTGCTATTATTTTGGTTATCATTTTCTATCCTGAATGTGTTGCTTCTCTATTACACTCCCTCCCCTTCCTTCGCTTTACTCTCCCTTGGCCTCCCTCTGGCTATGGGGGTGATGTATGGTCCCTGTCACAGCTGGAATCAATGGGATGCCGGTTGTTTTAATTTAGCTTGGGAGCCCAGTGGATCCAGATCCTCAGCGTCATTGGAAGAGCGATGGCGGTGGCCTTTCTGTCTCCTGTTCTCACTTACCAACATTCCGTCCTCAAATCGCTGCAGTATTGATCAACGCTTCGCTCCGGTAGGATAACGGGCCGTAGAGGCCCACACCATTCGTAGGCCTTCCATATTTCACTGGAAAAATTCAGATCAGTTTATCCTTTAGTCAAGTGGATGTTTGTGCCAAATCTGAGCAACACACCCCCCCCCCACCCACCCCTCCTTTAACAATGAAGGTAGTGGACAATTTGATTGACAGACAGAATGCCCCCGGTCACGGCAACTGGCAGAGTGAAAGAATAAGAACACACTTTTCCATCTCAGAGTGCAAGTACACTTACAGCACATTCACAAAGACATGGCAGGACGGCTTTGAGGACCGGTCTCCAGCAGGATAAAATCATCCTGGTGGAGAGATAAAACTGTTTCACAGCACGTGAAGCTGGTGTAACATGTCTCAGCCTCGCGGACCATGAGCACTGGTTTCCCCCCCAAGGCTGCTTTCGTTCCCGCCTGCTCTTCTCCCTGTACACCAACAGCTGCACCTCCAGTCACCAGTCCGTCAAGCTCCTGAAGTTCGCGGATGATCTCTGGTGGGGATGAGTCCGCCTACAGGTGGGAGTCTGACCATCTGGTGTTGTGGTGCAGCCAGAAAAACCTGGAGCTCAACGCTCTAAAGACAGTGGAGATGTTTGTCCCACCCTCCCCCATCACCCTGTGTGACTCGCCCGTCACCACTGTGGATTCCTTCCGTTTCCTGGGCTCCATCATCACCCAGGACCTCAAGTGGGAGCTGAACATCAGCTCTATCACCAAGAAGGCTCAGCGGAGGTTGTTCTTCTTAAGAAGATCACAGCCGACCCCTCTCACCCCGGACAAAAACTGTTTGCGCCCCTTCCATCTGGCAGGAGGCTGAGGTCCATCAGGACTAAGACCTCCCGCCACACGAACAGTTTCTTCCCGTCGGCATTCGGGCTGATCGAGAGAGCCCTAGTCCCTCACTGACGGACTCATTGCACCGGTCACTTTCTTTCACACTGCACACATCACTTGTCACTTTGTTCCCCAGTGCACTTTATTTAAATATTTTTAACTTTTATTCCTTTATTTTCAACTAATCCATAGCCTTATATTACTAACCCATAGCATTTTATTTTATCCTTCTTGCACTGCTGTCTTGTCGTCCAAGTCAAATTCCTTGTATGTCTACTATAGCAATAAATGTTTCCTGATCTTGATTTTTTTCAAAAATGGACAAAAAAGGTAAAAACGTCAGACAAGCTGTATTTGAGCCGTGATCCAAGGCTCATCAGACCAATTCCTCCTGACAGCTCCGCCTCTCATTCTGTCTCATGTCATTTTCCTCCCCAAAGTCTTCTCGCCGTCATTGTTACCCAACATTAATACAAATCATCTCTCCTCATATTCCCCAATGCTGGGCTTGAGCGGAAGCCGTCATGCAAAGCTCACATTGCGAGCTAAAGTAATTAAAAGAGGTTGCTTTGAAACAAAAGACTGAGCGGAGAGGCTTTGGAGTAAATGAAAGGCATATGCACAGAAAGAAGGGTAAGCAATCAGAGAGGTGGGTTCCACCACAATGGCTTTGTTGATGAGAAATGTGCTGTACAAAACGGGTCATGTATTAATGGGTTTTTAACAGATGTATGCATGATGTCACACAAAAGGTTGGAGGGGTTTGGTCTCGGAGCCGCAGCCTATTCACACATTTAGTAAGTGTGGAAAGAATTGAATGGGTTGTCTAATTATTGTGAGGGCTGTAAAATAATGAAATCATTCTCCAGCTAAAATATTACAGTGTAAACATCTCACTTTTCCCAAAAAGTATTTCCAAATAGAGAAAAGATGTATTGGATAATTACCTAGCAATGTGGCCATGCAAGTTTGTAAGCTGTAAAAAGTGCAACGTACGAATGACTTAACAATTCACTCTTCCACCAGTTGATGTAAGCCATTGTTTGTTTTCCGAAACTAACCCTTTCAATAATGTACAACTCAATAGTTTTTGTTGGTAAACATATTGTTTACCTGAGTTCCATGGCAAAGTTTTTTAAGTGAGGGGGGTGAATGATAATAATAATAAATACATGTATTGCATTAGGTTAATGAAGACGTGGTCAGGTTGGTGAATGGGATACACAAGGCTTTACTTTGACCACTGGAGAGAATTCATCCATTACAGCAATTCTATCAACTAGATAACTGTAAACGCTGCAGTTTTCCCCGAGATGCAGTTTTTGTCTTTCAGAGACAAGATGAACAGAGAGGGTGCAATGCCATGTAACAACAGTGTAGGACATTTGATATACAAAGCTGTACCGTTTGCTGTATTAAAAGAGAAACATTTAATCTCACTTGGATTCAAAGTTGAATTACTGTAACGAAGGATGCAAAGCAACCGTTCACCAATATTCCACTCCATAAAAGGTCTCCGAAAGACACCAAATCGAGGTCTACCAGGAGACATGAAGGCGTTCATGACAACTCCTGGCGAAAGATGACAGGTGCCGTGGGCTGGAAATCAACATGGTGGAGCACGACGGAGTGAAAAGAGGAAAGGGCCTTTAGTGTGTGAAGTCAGCGTGGTGTCAGAGACCGCCTGTGACGCTCCCAGGTCGGCAGTACACTCCATTTAACATTACAGCACTGCGAATGCGTCAGAGGGAGACAGGCAGGAGAACTGGTAACTGTTATTTTAAGCTGTCAGCTTGGATCTGTGCAACACAATGCCTCATAGGCTTCCTCGGTTTATGAAGAAAAAAAGTGTAGGTGGCACATGAGGCTTACAGAAAACAGATCCAGCATAATTACGAAAGAAGAGACTTTGCACCAAACACTAGTAGTCAGAAAACTACAGTACCAGTCAAACCTTTGACTCCATCATAATGTTCCTCTCCAATCAGATATTAGCGACCCAAAAACATAGTACATGATGAAGGAACTCCATACATTGTTTTTTGTTTGACAC